CATGCTCCGCACTCCTTTGTAACTAGATTCTAACTTGGAAGGCAGATGTGAGCATGAGTGAGGTGTCGCTGTGAATGGGGAAATTTGATCTTATGGCAGAAGCCTTTGTTTTTTTTTTCAGGGTAATTGTAACACAGGCTTTGTTATCTGTATTTGGTCCTTAACATTATAAGTGATGAATGGTGGGCAGTAGTTGGATTAGTGTCCATTGAAACACTTTCCCTTGGAACAACAGGTATAGCGCTATATTATTTCTGTATGACATTCAAGCTGGGTTGCCAGGTTTTCCTAAAAATTTTGTGTGCCAGCATTTTAATAAATCATTTTCTGCTTCAAATAGCTAGAATGGATTGTGTTGTGTGCAGCTAAGAAATCTGACTTGGGTTGAGTAGCTTCCAACAGAATCTTGTGATAAAAGATAGTCCTTTAGCAGATTCACAATTGAGAAGAAAATTGAAATTAAGCAAATTAAGTCTGAAGGCCTGAGACTAGGGGATTGATGGTATATGTCCAGGTCTGAGTCTGACAGGCTGAGAACCAAGAGCTCTGATGTCCAAGGGCGGAAGAAGCTGATTGTTTCAGCTCAGGAAAATTCACCCTTCTTCTGTTTTTTCGTTCTACTCAGTCTCTCAAAGGACTGGATGATGCCCACCTACATTGGTGAGAATGATCTTCTTTACTCAATCTGTTGTCAAGACACCGAGAAATAATGTTTTACCAGCCAACTGGACATCTCTTTCTCTTTTTTAAAATTTTTTTATTTTTATTTTTATTTTTATTTTTTTTAAAGATTTTATTTATTTATTTATTTGAGAGCGAGAGAGAGAAACAGCATGAGAGGGGATAGGGTCAGAGGGAGAAGCAGGCTCTCCGCCGAGCCGGGAGCCGATCCCGGGACTCCAGGATCATGACCTGAGCCGAAGGCAGTCACTTAACCAACTGAGCCACCCAGGTGCCCTCTCGCTCTTTTTTTTTTTTTTTAAAGATTTTATCTATTTGACAGAGAGAGACACAACGAGAGAGGGAACATAAGCAGGGGGAGTGGGAGAAGGAGAAACAGGCTTCCCGCGGAGCAGAGCTCGATCCCAGGACCCTGGGATCATGACCTGAGCTGAAGGCAGATGCTTAATGACTGAGCCACCCAGGCGTCCCCCTATCTGGACATCTTTTTTTTTTTTTTTAAAGATTTTATTTATTTATTTGAGAGAGAATGAGAGACAGAGAGCATGAGAGGGAGGAGGGTCAGAGGGAGAAGCAGACTCCCCACCAAGCAGGGAGCCCGATGCGGGACTCGATCCAGGGACTCCAGGATCATGACCTGAGCCGAAGGCAGTCGCTTAACCAACTGAGCCACCCAGGCGCCCTGGACATCTCTTAACCAGTCAAGATGACATATAAAATTAACCGTTACAGAAGTGCAATGTCAGGTAGTGCTAAGTGCTCTGAAGAAAAATAAAAATGGATAAAGGACCTGGGGTGTACATGAAAAAAAATAAGATGTCTTCTAATAAAAAATAAATTGTGATATGTTCACCCAAGGACTACCTCATGGGACAAACAATAGCTCTATACAGTGTGGATAAAGCTTTGAAACATAGTATTGAGTAAAAGAAGCAAGAAATGATGCCATGAGAAAATGATCAGCCAAATCCAAAATATGGAATATTCTGCAGGTCAAATGATTTAGCTTCCCCCCCCCCAAAAAAAGGCAAAAAAAGGGCATGATAACAAGAAGAGGGGAAGAAGCAACAATTAACAAGGTGAGGTGAGCTAAAACAAGATTACTAAACTTGACAATTGGTGAAATTGGGTGAAGGATTATAATAATGTAATAGATTGCTTATGTAATTGTCTCTACTTTTATTTCAGTTTGAAAATTCCCATAATTCAAATTTTTTAAAATGAGAAAAGTAATTTGCTTAGAAACTTCTTCTGGGATGAAAAGTAAAAATATATCTATAAGAATAAAGTAGAAGTCACAGGTTTATGTGTCATTATAAAGACCTTTTGTTCTGAGATTATTGTAGGTTCATACACAGTTGTAAAAAATAATTCAGACAGATTCCCTATACCCTTCACCACAATGGCAATATCTTACATAACTATAGCACAATATTGCAATCAGGAAGTTGCCATTGATACAATCAATGAACCTTATTCAAATTTACCAGTTTGGTATGTATTCATTTATGTACGGAATTGTTCTCCTCTGTGCTTTCTTTTTTTTTTTTTTTTAAGATTTTATTTATTTATTTGACAGAGACACAGCGAGATTCATTTAAGTTATTAAGTGTATAAATAAATCATTCCCTTTCTTATTGTCAAGTAAGTATCCCATGGTAAGGATATGGCCCAGTTTGTTTAACCATTCATCTGCTAAAGGACATTTGGGTTGTTACTAATTTTTGGCCTTTACAGATAAAACGACCATGAATTTTCATGTAAATTAGGTTTTTGTGTGAACACATTTTTTTCATTTCTCTGTGATAAATGTCCAAGAGTGCAATTACTGGGTGTAAGAAACTGCTATACTTTTTTCCACAGTGGCTGTTCCATCTTAAATTTCCATCAGCAGTATATGAATATATGAGTGTGTGAGCTGTAACTGCTTAACTAATAGTTTTTCAAAATAACCGAAGAAAGAGTGATGGTTTTTGGTTATTAATGATGAAAATGTTTCAGCCCAAATGACCCCATGGTTTGGGAAGATTTCTATAGGAGAAGCTCATTGCAAAGAAATTAGGTCAAGGAAGTCCTAAAAGTGTTTTAAAACAAGGCCAAAAAAATTATCCTAAAGATACCTGAAAGGAAGAGAGAAAACCAGCATTTAATGAGAAGATATACCAGGTATTTCCCATTCTTTATCTCGTTTATTCCTCCTGATGATCCTGTAAGGAGGGTTATATGTCCATTTTAGAAATAATGTAATCAAGGGGCACCTGGGTGGCTCAGTGGGTTAAGCATCTGACTTTGGCTCAGGTCATGATCTTGGGGTCCTGGGATGGAGCCCCACATCAGGCTCCCTGCTCAGTGGGGAGTCTGCTTCTCCCTCTCCCACTGCCCCTCCCCCTAGCGGTGCGCTTGCTCTCTCTCAAATAAATAAAATCTTTTTTTTTTAAATAATGTAATCGAAGTCTCAAATAACATTTGAAACAGTCACAGTTACCAAATGGCAAAGTGAGAATAAAAAACGCAGCTTCTAGCTGCCTTTAGCTCAGTGCCAGAAACATAGGAGGCAATCAGCACATTTGTTGAAAGGAATGAATGAATAGATAAATGTCAGCTCTGCTATTTATGTACCCCATGGCAAGACTATTAATTTCTCTGAGACTGTGTCTTCATTTGTTAAAGGAAGATGCTAATAACACCTCCTTCAGAGTCGTGAACAAATAAGGTGATACAATAGGAAAAAAACAATTTGGAAAATAGAAAACGTTAAACAAATGTTAGCATAATATTAAGTCAGTGTTATAGCCAAATACTGATAAAATACAAGCAGGACACTTGGGTAGGTAAGTGTAGTGCCAGAAATGTACTGTGTCCCGTGGATCACTTAATAGCTGTTTCCCTAGTTTCCTCATCTGTGAAATCATAATTGAGATTAAGGTTGAGCACCTTAATGACACAGCCCCTAAGATTCTCACCAACTAATGAGACAGAACCAACAAAGCCTCTACATAAGAAATTAATTTGAAAATTTTGGGGCACCTGGGTGGCTCAGTCATTTAAGCATCTGACTCTATTTCCGCTGGGGGCCTGATCTCAGGTTGTGAGATCTAGCCCTGAGTCAGGTTCTGCTCTGATTGTGGAGCCTACTTGGGATTCTCTCTCTCCCCCTGCCTCTGCTCCACCACCCCCGCTCTCTTTCTCTCTCTCTCTCAAAAAAAAAAAAATGTTTATTATACTTCCCAGGATGATAAAAAGAATGTTGCTGATTATAATTATCCATGGCATTCTGGCCTGTATCAATTAGGTCGTTCAGAACTATATCAGTGCATCAAAATTATTACATATATACTTTGTGTATTGGTGTGTGCATTTACCAACAGTATGAGTAACAGTTAATAACATAAGAATATATGTATAACTTACAAACAGGGGTCTCTAAGAAAAATCCCCACTGGATATAAAATGTGGAAGAGTGGGCAAGAAATTGATATTTTGTGTCTGTGTAGGGGATAAGGCTGGCTAGGGAGAAGGGTAAAGAAACTTCACATTTGTAACACTTTGTACTTTCCTTTTGAATTTTGGACCATGTATCACTGCATTACTATTTAAAAAAAGACTTAAAGCTTTATAAAAATCTTGTATAAAAATGGAACATTAACATAGAATAACCACAGGACTTTTTAAAGCATTGCCTTTAAATTATTAATTTAAATTATGAAAATATGAAGCTAGTTCCTTTTCAGTATGATTATATGTTTTTACAGAATCTTTGCTTCCTGGGAATGTTTAATTCTTCTGAATAAAGCAATCTTTTAGTATTTTTTTGTAAGACTGATATAATGAGTGGTACATAAAATTGAATAAAATGAGTTATTTCCTAAGAATAATAATAAATGTGGGTGAGGCACCTGTTTGACTATGAGCTCAGAGACAAATGAGACAGAAAGTGTATGTAGGTGAAGAAGAGGAAGAAGTTAAGTCTGGCATTGCTAAGGGCCACCATTAGATGCAACTAACGCCAATGCTTAGGCATTACGGCTCCTGTGCATTTTGGTGGTCTTCAAAGCGCGGATACTAGATAGACTGGTTTTAACATCTTCATCTGCTGCCATCACCAGTTAGGGCGGGATTAGGATTTTCGCAAGCCCCTGAATACTGAAAAGATGATGGTGACTCTCTTCCCTGTGTAATTAAAAATGGAAATACATTTAGAAAATAAATTAAAGCTTAAATCGGGGTGAACGCAAGACCTTCCCTCTAGATTTTCTTGAATAAAAATTCCTAATACATTCATCAAAGCTGAACTTTTTTTCTGCTTTTCCCTTCTTTAGACTTGGTTCAACTGCCTGTTCCACAATCCAGCACTCGCAGGCTCTTAAACCCAAAGCACGCGGCTTCTCGCAGGTGCCAGCCCCACCCCACGAGGGATCTCCTCCTTCGCTCCTCCCACCTGACCCTTCGCCCCGCCCATTGGGCGCGTCGTCGTTACGGCAGCGCGCCGTCGCCGAAGGCCGGCAGCAAATGAGCGCAGGCGGCGGCGGCCCTCCGTCGTACCCTCGCAGGCGCATGCGCGCTCGTGCCGGGCGCTCCTGAAGACCTGGCGGAGCCCGGCGCGGATGGAGGCCTGAGGGCGGCGGGGGCGGAGCGCACCGCGAGCTGGGGGCATGTCCGCGGCGGGCGCCGTCTAGAGGAGGGCCGAGCAGCCGCCACCACGCTCTCAGTCGCGGCGAGACGCAAGCGAGCCAGGCCTAGGGCCGCGGCGGCGATGCAGCGACGGCGGCGCCCTCCGCCGCCAGCTTCTCAGCTGCCCGAGGGCTGCGGGGGAGGCGGCGGCGGCCGCGGCGGGAGCGAGGAGGTGGAAGTGCAGTTCTCCGCCGGGCGTTTGGCCTCGGCCGCGGCGGTTTCGGCGGCGGCGACGGCCGCGCGCAGCACGGAGGAGGAGGAGGAGCGGCTCGAGCGCGAGCACTTCTGGAAGATCATTAATGCCTTCCGCTACTACGGGTAAGAAGCCCGTGGCGGACCCCGGCGCAGCCCATCGAGGTGCCCGCCGGTCGCGGCGGACCCGCCGGAACGGGGGCGCCCGCCGCGCTCGCCCTCGGCCGCCACGCCTCCGGGGCGCCCGGACCGGGCCGCCAGATCTGACCTCCGGGTCCCTGAGTCACCTCGTACCACCTTAGCCCCTCCCGGCCCTGCACAGCCGCGTGTCTGCCGCGCCGTCTGCTGCTCAGCCTCGTGTCTTCTAACCTCGGGATCAGATTAGCTCTCTTGCCTTCCATCCCTCGTTAAAGGTTTGGCTTTGAGGCCGGTGGGGGTGACCGGAAAAGTGCTGTTAACAATTGCAGATAGAAGATGATGGTGGTAAAATCGTCCAGTGCTGGGCATGATCTGTATGTGTTGTCGATGTCCTCCAAACTGAACACACGGAGAACCCAAGTTCACCTACACGTGGGATGCCGTAGGACGAATTTTCCCAAACTGTTGCCAGTTCTTGTGAGAGCTGCATAGGATTTCCACCCCAACCCCCTTGGCGCTCTGAACGTACAGGCACATTAGTGGTGAATGATGGCGCTCAATGCCTTTAACTGGTGGGTGAAATTAAGGTCGGAGGTGGTCCGGATGTTCTAAAATTTGCTAATTATTGAAGAGGGAAATGAGAGAAGGCACAGTAAAGAACCGCTTTAATGATCTTTTGTTCTGCAGATATGTATCGAATTCTCACTATGGGCTGGGTACGGTGGTAGGACTTTTAAACTCCCTAACTTCCACTTTTTTTCTTTCTAGATAGATGTTAAAATAGCATAGTCACAAAATTATAATTCCAAGATCTGAAAGGGACTTAGATTTTCAGGTAAACAGAGCACTTTTATTTGTGTAAGAGTGGAGTCCACCGACGGCTATGTTCTGAGTCTGCATTTGGAATGGGATAGACAGGACCTGCACAAGTAAAACTGTTCCCTTAGATGGGCTCTTGCTGTGATTTATGCAAACTTTTTTTTTTTAATTGCTTGACTGTGACCTGTTCAAGGGCAGGGACTAAGCCTTATTTATTTTTGTGTCACCAGTGGTTGGCATATGTTGTTGAAGCTCTATTTTTAACAAATAAGACAAGTAGTAGCAAAGAAATACATTTGTCCTTCCTGGATAGCATCTGAATTTGTCACAAGTCGGTAGTTTGTTACAATTTTGAATTTGTAAACTTGCTTAATAAAAGCCTAAAGTTATTTAGAATCTGATGGCCTTTTTGTAACATGAGTTTTTTAAGTGCAAAGATCTTGATGAAATAATCTACTGATTAAACCCAGGCATAGGAACTGGACTGCATTACCTATGGACCCCAAAAGGGAATTAACTAGTGTGGGGATTTTATTTAGTATCAATAGAGGGAGGAAGGCAGACAACCACAGAATTGAATTTGATGCAGTATTGTGTCTGAAAGAATCACACAGGGAGGAGAAACAACTAACCCTAGATTTAGATAGCTAGGAGAGGTAGGTACAGAAAAGTCTGGTACATTTTACTATTGAAAAATCTAGAGGATACTGGACTATGTCCTGGAAAGATAGTGGACCCAATTAGTTACAGTGTGTGTCTGTGCTGGTTCTAATATATTAAGACTAATTTAAAATTGATACTTACGATTAGTTATCATATGGGCCTTTTTGTGGGCAGACAGGGACCTTGGACCTGAAAGTAGGGCTCAAGTGTGGCAATGTAGAAAAGAGTGCTTGTGTGCATATTCTAATGGTTGTGATATAGTTTCCTATACTCTAATCCCTCTTTAGCAGTTTAATGTGGGATTGAGGATAATTTCATTTTTTAAAAACAATCCTTTTTATTTGCGTGTACTCTTGATGAAACGCTTCCAATAGACTGAAAATAGTATTAAAAATACGCTTTTTAAAAACATCACTGGAAGGAGTAGGGGTATGGAAAGCACTTTGTAGCAGAAAACACACTGGGTTGTTCCATTCCGACATTTTATTATCTAGACCCGTGCTGTTCAGTACCGTAGTCACTAATCACATCTGGCTAAATTTAAACTTAATTAAAATTTAATAAAATTTAAAGTTCATTTCCTCAGTCTCACTAGCCACATTTCGAGTGCTCAATAGCCACATGTGGCTGGTGTCTGCTCTACTGGACAATGCAGATGTAAGCCTTTCCATCACTGCGGTGAGTTCTGATGCACAATCCTATTGTAAATCTTTAGCAAATACTTCTAAATTTTGGAGAGCTTAATTTCACTGCTCAGTGTCTTTTAGTCATTATATAGGGGATTTAGATTAACGGTCACAGGGCAAGAAATGGCTTAATATTTTTCCAGTGGCTTCTAATTTTGTGTTTCCTATGGGTTTTGCTTAGATGAAATATTTTGATTAAGGCAAAAATGATTGTAGTATTGTAGCGAATAGTAAAAAACAAAACAAAACCAAAACGTTGTTATTCTTAAAATACCAATCTTGTTATGAATGAAGATACTCACATTAGAAGATACTACAGTTGAAAAATTAAAGGTCTTGTCAGAAACATCCTACTTTTAGAAATAGCAGTTAGGTAAGATTTAAAAAATTGAGATGTAGAGTTCTTTTGTACAGGTGAAGGATTAGGCATATAAAGAGATGAACACCTTGCCCAGGCTTACACAACCAAATTGTGGTAGAGTCTGGCCTGAAATCCAAGATGGTTCACTGCATTAGTAAATAGTGATATTAGTAAGACAATTTTAACTTTGTGTTTTAATAAATTTTTTAAGTGGATTGAGACAGATTTTCCTTCTGAAAAGATATGCTTTCCTGTTTAGAATGCTAGAGTAGTTCAACAGGTGCAGAGGAATGGGTCTATGACATTGGTCCTTGGCTCAGACCCAGTATCAGACCCACCCTGATGAAAGGAGACTGAGAGTTGGGCTCACTGCCAAGACCAGCCTTCTGGAGAGAGCTGAAGGTAGATACCCTTGAAATATGGCTAGTCACTCTATTTTGTCCCCTTAGTCACCAGAGGATATGCTCTTGCTGCTGACAGAGTTCAGAACCACGGAGAGTCTGAAGGTTGTAAAACATTCCTTTAAAAAAAGCAGCGTTGGGAAACTCTTTAAAGGGCCAGGCAATGAATATTTTAAGGTCAGAGAGCTAGGTAGTCTCTGTTACAACTATTCAACTCTGCCCCTGTGTGGAAGCAACCATAGGCAGTATGTGAACAAATGGATATGGCTATGTTCCAGTAAAAGTCTTTATAAAATAGACCTAGCAGCCAGGGGGGGTCATAGTGTGCCCACCCCTGCCTTAAAGTACATTGGTAGTGTAAGCATTTCCAGAATAGTGAAGTTAGCCCCATTTAAAATAGTAAAGATTGGACTCTTGTGTCAGCTTCAGTAAGATCTCACTTATTTCAGGAGACTCGCTGTGGATGTACGTTATGGATAGTTTTGCAGACCATTAAAAAATCAAGGGTTAAGAGATATGCAGCAACTCATCCTGTTCTGTGTAGTTACATCACTTCTGTTATCAGTAATTGACAGCAAATATGTGTGGGCTCTTCTGACCAATCCATAATTTACCTCAACTACCCGGCAATCATGGAAATTAAGTAGTCCTCATGGAGAATGAAAAATGGCACCTAGGGGGTATATAACTGAACATTTATTGATTGTTATTTGCATGGGCTGAAATCTGGAGATTCAATTGGGACAAACACAAGACTTATTTCAGAAGAATTCATTGGGAGTGGTAGACTTCACCTGGGGACAACATTCCTAGGGAGCAGGCCTCTTAGGGATCTTTGAGAGACCTAATGAGGGCCTGGGAGAGGTAGTGATTGCAGAGAGTTTATGAAGTAGAATCAAAAGGATCTGGAGCTTGTGGTTGTGGGGTCTGTGAGAAGAGGCATTTTAGGATGACTCATTTGTTTCTGACTTGAATGGATGTATGGCATACCATTCATCAGTGTCAGCCATATAGGAAGAAGTGCAGGGTTTTTTGGGGCGGGGGGGCGGTGATCATGTGCTAAGTTCAGTTTGGATATGTTGAATTTTGAGGTATGTTGAAAGGGAGGTTGTGTGGCATCCAGTGCCCAAGAATACTAGAAATGAAGTACTGTGAGAATATTTAACCAGTTGACTCTGAGTTGTAACCCTTCACAACTCTGCTGTTTGCCTAACACATTATGGTCACTTTAAATAGTTCCTTTAGTGTCCTACTCTATTTTATAAGAATGTAAATTGATACAATCCTTCTGAAAATCAGTTTGTATCAAGAAGTTTAAAAAGGGGCGCCTGGGTGGCTCAGTTGGTTAAGCGACTGCCTTCAGCTCAGGTCATGATCCTGGAGTCCGGGGATCAAGTCCCACATCGGGCTCCCTGCTCAGCAGAGAGTCTGCTTCTCCCTCTGACCCCCCCCCCCCCCCATGCTCTCTCGCTCTATCTCATTCTCTCTCTCAAATAAAGAAATAAAATCTTTAAAAAATATACCTTTTTTTTTTTTTTTTTTTAAGATTTATTTATTTTAGAGCTAGCCAGGGGAGGAGCAGGGGAAGAGGGAAAGGGAGAGAAACAGACTCCCCACTGGGCATGGAGCCCACTCAGGGCTCAGTCCCACAACCCATGAGATCATGACCTGAACCGAAACCAAGAGTCAGATGCTTAACCAACTGAGCCACCCAGGCGCCCCACTACTTAATCCTTTCTGACTTGGTAATTCTTCTTTTGGGAATTGGTAGTATTTTTTTTCCCTAAAATACAGACAGATTTAGAACACAGAAAGTTTATCATATAGACAAGTGAAAGTATCTAGATGCCCAGTGTTTGAGAAATAACTAAGTAATAAGTAAATTTTGGTGCATAGATGGCATAATGAAAAGTCATTACACTCATTTGCCCTGTAAATTAGAGAAGTTTTTTCTGATCTGGGAAAATTCTTTGATAAAGATGAAGAATTACAAGTGCTTCTAAAAAGTTGACGTGCATGTGAATCATTTTGAGATCTTGTTAAAAGGCAGATGACATTTCAGTAGGTCTTAGGTGGGGTGTGAGATTCTTCATTTCTAGTTACCTCCAAGTGATACGCTGTTCTGTGTACCACGTTTTGACTGGAGAGGCACTTAAATGACTTTGTCTTAACAACAACAAGGAGAAATATGCCAAAAAGTTAGAAGTGATTGCCGTTAGGAGAGGGACTATTAGTAGCTTTTTTTGCTGGAGTACTTTTACTTCTCTAGATTTTTTTATTTTCTCTGTGAACATATTAGTTATATAAATTAGGTATTCCTACATGTTTGAGCTATGTTTCAAGACCTGGGCTAAGTGATTTGTGTGCATTATTTTGTTACATTTTCAGTGAAATCCCATTGGGTTGGCAGAGGAATATAATGGTACCTAACCTTGTGGGGTTTTATGGAGATGTTTCAGAGTAATCCACGTCAGTGACTTGGTGTAGGGCCTGGCTTTTATTAAATCTCAATAAGTGATGGCTTCTGTAATCATCATCATCTCATCATCACTGTAGTTACGTATTACCTTGTTTTGTATGTGAGACAGTGGGGGCACAGAGAAAGGAAGTAACTTGCCAAGGGTCACGTATCCAATAGGTGGCATAACCTGGATTTCAATCCAGATCTGTTTGACTCCACAGCTCACTATTACACTGTCTCTAGGGGGACAAAAGCAAACATCAATGTAGCCATTGACAACTTAATCTTTTCACGTTACCCTGCCATGCCCCCACCCCCACCCCCCGCCGACCACCACAGCCACCACACACAAGCTTCTAAAAACCTTGTCAGGTTATTGCTTTACTCAAGAGCGCCTTCAGAACTTCTTTATTACTATCCAGAAATTAGAGAGTGATTTGGCATAAAAACGAGACAATTATTTGGGTGAATAGAAAGATTCAAGCAACCAAATGAAAAAGCGTTTTTCGTTTTCATTTAGTATGGAGTAAATGCCAAAGAACATTGAGAAGAAACACAAACACTGGTTTGTATATATAAAATGTAAAGAATGATACAGTGAATACCCATGCACCTAACACCTGGTTTAAAAAAAGAATCCTTTCTCCTCAAAAAAATCACTTTCTTGAATTTTCATTTCCTTGCTTTCTTTGTAGTTTTTTTTTTTACATGTGTTCAGTCCCTGTAATATATTATTTTTATATAAGATGGAATTGTACATTCTGTATTTTTCTGCAACTTGCTTTTTTTCAACAAATATTTACATTCATGAGTTTTATCCATATTGTGTATAGTTGTAGTTTATTTAATTGCATTCCATTGTATGATTATACTGTACTTTGTTCATTTTACTGGTGATGGACCACTAGGTTGTTTGCAGATTTCTTGTTTGTTATATATAACAGCGCTAATAAGAAGATAGTTTATGTTTCATGGTGCCCATTTGCCAAGTTTCTTGAGTATGTGTCTAGGACTGTAATTGCTAGGGAGTGTGCATATTAAGATTTACTGGGTAATGCTAAATTATTTTCCAAAGTGGTTGTACTAATTTATGCACCTCTCATCAATCAGTATATATATTCAAGTTATCCCGTATTTTTCAGTATTTCCTAATATTTTTTCCATATTTCCTATAGTCAGGCTTTTAGATTTTGCCCATCTGATTGATGTAAAATGGCACTCATTGCAAATGTAATAATCAGCTTTTGAAAATGATGGGGTTTTTTGTTTGTTTGTTTTCAGGTTTTATAAATAGGTAATCCCCAGAGTGACCTTTAGAGTTATCTGGAAACTTCTGGAATGCAAATTGTGAATAATATCATGTAAAAGGATATAGAATTACAATTTTTCCTCTGTTTACTACTTTTGTAGTACATAAGAGCCTTTGTGTTTTTTAAAAAAAAATTCAGCTTGGTTGGTTCTTAATTTCAAAACACATTTTGTATATTCTAAAGTAACTTCAGAGCAGTATTCTGCTACTTGATGGAGAAATTTAAAGTATTCATCTAGTTCGATGAAAATTTTAAGTTTGGAAATTAAAATCATAAAAATAAACTAATTGTACATTAATCCTCTTTATGTTTCCTTTTTCCCTCCTAATTGGTGCAGATATTTACTTTGCTAGTTATAAACTATTTGTCTTTTGTTTGGTTGCTTAGAGAATTTGTAATAAGGTGAAAACATAAAACTTTCTAAGATGATATTCTTTAAGAAACCAAAAGATTGTAAATCACAGGACAGTATCCCAACATTATAAAGGAATAATTGTACAGAAAGACAGCCTTAAAATAAGATTGGCCCTGGTGAGAATTCTTTTGCCAATTTAAAAAACACCTTTTATGTTTTAGCACCAGTATGCATGAGCGAGTGAACCGAACAGAAAGACAATTTCGATCACTTCCAGATAATCAACAGAAACTACTTCCTCAGTTTCTTCTTCACTTGGACAAGATTCGGAAATGCATTGATCATAATCAAGAAATACTACTGACCATTGTGAATGATTGCATACATATGTTTGAAAATAAAGAATATGGAGAAGATGTATGTGAAAGTTTGTTCTATTTTTATTTTAGGGTTTAACCTCTATTTTGAGGTCTTTATCTTTCTGGATTTCATTTTTATATTTTGCATGGGCCATTTGCTCTACTCAGAATGTTTTCACTTTTATGTTCAGGTATTTGATTAGGCTTAATAGAATAGTATGCCAGAAACTGGATTTGTTCACAGATTTTTTTTTCTAAAAATAGTAAGATAATTGTTGGCATATTGCTCTACGTTTCACATAGTGTTCTGACTCTTCTAGCATACAGAGTTAGTGACTTTAATTTTTATAACCAACTTTACTAGCTGTGTAAAATTAATTTCTCTTGCTAAATTCATTTTCATTATCTTGTATCTATTGATATTTATCTTTTACTTTAAGAAGTTATTTTCACTTATAAATCTCAAGGGACTGGCAGTAATAGAAACTGAAGTCCTCTTTTTGTATCCACAGGATAGATACAGTTGGGCCACTCCAGTGTGAGCCTCTCCATGCTGCCCCATCAATGACCTGGAGGGACTTTCTTCCCTCTCTTAGAGAGAGAAGATGTCCTGTCTCCATAGCAGCTCAGTTCTGGTCCTCTCCTGAGTAAAGACTGCTTAATTATATGGTGGTTTCATGATTAATGGACCTTAAATCTATTGAGGGTAGAAGTGAGACCACCAAACTCTTTTCATGTAGGATCTCAAGCTGCACTTGAACCCCGGTTGAGGTGAGAGGCTAGTGATTTATCCACTAAACCATCCATATAGCCCCTTAGTAGCACGTGCCCTTGACCCTATTCAAGATTGATTCCTTGGTCAGAAGCTAATTGATTTCTGTTTTTAAACAGGGGAATGGAAAGATTATGCCAGCATCAACATTTGACATGGATAAGTTAAAATCTACACTGAAACAGTTTGTGAGAGACTGGAGTGAGACTGGGAAAGCAGAGAGGGAAGCCTGCTACCAACCAATCATTAAAGAAATTTTAAAAAATTTTCCGAAAGAAAGATGGTAAATAGTATCTTATTTTTAACCAGTTTCTTTAAGATACGTAAGCACTAAGTTTCTCTGTAATAAATTTCACGGTCCTGATTCATGTTTATAGTTGCTGCATGCCTGTATTTTTCCACATATGGGTGTGTGGTGTTGTATGTGTTCGTAGATGCTTTCTATAAGGTTGCAGTTAATATTTTTGAATACTCTTTGCTCCAACAGTTAAGGGAAATCACTCCATCTGGAAATTAATAAGGTTAGATTGTTCATTATCAGTGATGGGTTCTTTTATAATTTGCTAATGGCAACGCAAAAAGCTGCAGACTTTGCATTTTCCTCATTATGACAAACTTGTAAGTAGATACGGGATCTATAGCTGAGAGCAAAGATTCTTTTTTGTGCCATGAAAAGCCCAAGCAGTCCACTTTTCAGAATAACACTTATAAATAAAAGAAAATGCATAAGATTGCAAAGAAACCAATTTTGAAGAATAGTTATCAAAATATTTAAAAAGCAGATTTGTGCTATCACATGCTTCGTATCCTGTATCACATTAAATAAGATCTAGCAGCAAGTATAATTACTGTATTTTTGAAAATACCAGCACACGTGTTATTTTGAGACTCTCAGCAACTTCAAAATAACTTCAAGATAAGTTGCATGCATTTTATAGTGCTATATACTCTACCTAATCACTAATTCTTAACGTTTTACATTTTATTATTTCTTCTTTGTACTTCCCTCCCTCCTCCCTCTGCTTTATGATTATGTCTAAAACCATATATATGCACAACTATTATTTAAACCATTTGAGAGATCAGTTTGTATATGTCTTTTTTTTTTTTTTTACCTCTTAATACTTCAGAGTTCATTTCTTAAGAACAAGGATATTCTAACATAAACACAGTGCAGTTATCAGATTGAGAAAATTTAACCTAGAATACTGTTTTCTAATCTATAGCCTATATTCAAGTTTTATAAAATTATCCTGAAAATGTTCTTTATAAACACTTCTCTGTCCAGTCTAGAATCCAGCCCTGGATATTATATTACATTTCATTATAACATTTTAGTCTTTAATCTGGAGCAGTTCCTTGGCCTTTCTTTGACTTTCATGACATTGGCATTTTTGAAGAATACAAGGAAGTTATTTTATGGAATATTCCCTCAGTTTGAGCTTATCTGATGTTTCTTTATGATTGGATCTGGATTACATGCCTCTTTTCAAAATAATACATAATTGATATGTAATTGATTGTTCCTCTCAGGATATCACATTCAACAGTGTCTGTTAGCCCATCATTTTTTTTTTTTTTAAGATTTTATTTATTTATTTGTCAGAGAGAGGGAAAGAGAGCGCATAAGCAGGGGGAGTGGTAGGCAGAGAGAGAGGGAGAAGCAGACTCCCAGCTGAGCAGAGAGCCCATGCGGGGCTCAATCCTAGGACCCTGAGATCATGACCTTAGCCGAAGGCAGACGCTTAACCAACTGAGCCACCCAGGCGCCCCTGTTAGCCCATCATTGACAATTTTAATTTGATTACCCATTCAGAATGTCACTTAGTTTCTCCATTGTGTAGTCACTATCTCTCCTCTTGCAACTAATAAACAATCTCTTAAGACACACTTTGAGACCATACAATTAATATCCTGCTCCTTCTCAGACTTTCTCTGCCTTAGAATTGTCAGCCATTGATGATTCTTGCATGAACTGGTCTGTCCTGTGCTGGTTATGGAAAGGTGATTTTCTAACTTTTCAATGATCAGTCAGCATTCTACTGTATCTATAAACTATTACACAAAGGACTTATGGTTCCTGTTTTATTCAGTGGGTTATGATCCATTACTGTTGGTTTTTTGTTGTCGTTGCCTCAGATTTAGCCAGCAGAAGTCCCTTCAGGTTGGCCCCTAAGTCCTTTCACATAGCCCAATTCTTCTTGAGCACTTTCTTATTTTCTGGCACAATAAGATATTTCAATCCCATCATGTATCTTCCCTACTTTAGCCCTGGAATTGGATATATTTCCAAGGACCTCTTTCCTTTAATGTGAAATGATATGTAGAAACCAAGATCTGGCACTAGGCATGTTCATTGTTACTAAGATGTCAGCTTTTGAGCCTTTTAGTGGGTAGAGTGCGCACACACACACACACGTTAGAAAGCATTCATTCATACTGATCCCTTCAATTCCAGTCCAACCCCAAAGGTTTCCTTCTTGGCTTCCCCTGTTCTGTGTATCTGTCTTTTTCCACAGTGAGAACCTGGCTTCTGACAACATCAGTACATTTACTCATTCACTCAGTTCTACAGTAATCACATAATGGTTTCAGAATTGCTACCTCCATACCACTATGAAAAACAAACTACCAGCAGGAGTTTAGGATTTGCTAGCAATTATTTTTTCCCCTAAAAGAAGGGTATTCACAAAAATATTCTTCACAAGTTACTCAAATTAGCTTTCCTTCAACCCCCTATCCTCAGTGTGGTTGTGTTTTTTATTTGAAATTCAGTATATTGGGGGTTTTTTTTGTTTGTTTGCTTTCAGTTTTTAGGGTTCTGTCTTGCCTCCACTCCCCATCCTTGTTGATTTATATTTATTTTTTGATTTGTGGGCTATCAGTTATTAACTGTGATACTCAGAAAAAGTGTTATTCCCTTCCCTGTTCCTTTGATAGCCCATCTCAACCCCTCATTCTCAATCCCACACACCATGTAGGTAATCAGTATCATTAATTTCTTATTTATCCTTCTTGTTTTTATTTTTTGTTTCTTATGTAAGCAGATATAGGGTTTTTCTTCTAAATTACCTCCTTTTGTTTCATACACAAAATGCAGCAGCCTGTGTATTCTATGTTGCACTCTGCTTTTTCACTTAACAAAATATCTTAGAAATAGCTACATATCAGTGCATGGAGATCCTCCTCAGCCTTTTTTACAGCTGTAGAGTACTTCAACCAATCTCCTGTATTTGGTTATTTAAGTAGTTGGCAGTATCTTACAACTATAAATTATTTTACAATTAATAACTGTATGCATGGGTATTTTTGTACTTTTGGAAGTATCTCTTTAGTGTAAATTCTTTTTTTTTTAAGATTTTATTTATTTGACAGATAGAGAGCATAAGTAGGCAGAGTGGCAGGCAGAGAGAGAGGGAGAAGCAGGCTCTCTGCTGAGCAGGGAGCCGGACGTGGGGCTCGATCTCAGGACCCCAGGATCATGACCTGAGCCGAAGGCAGCTGCTTAACCAACTGAGCCACCCAGGCGCCCCTAGTGTAAATTCTTAGACATGGGATTGCTGAGTCTGAAAGGTAAATGCATATGTAGTGTGGCAAGTGTGTTAGTTACCTATTGTGTGCAACAGATTACCACACATTTAACTGCTTAAAACAGCATAGATTTATTTTTTTTTAAGATTTTATTTTTTATTTATTCGACAGAGACACAGCGAGAGAGGGAACACAGGCAGAGGGAGTGGGAGAAGGAGAAGCAGGCTTCCTGCAGAGCAGGGAGCCCGATGCGGGACTTGATCCCAGGACCCTGAGATCATGACCTCAGACGAAGGCAGATGCTTAACCGACTGAGCCACCCAGGTGCCCCAAAACAGCATAGATTTATTATTTCACAGTTTCTGGGGTCAGAAGTCTGGGCATAGGATCTTACAAGGTTGCAATCCAGATGTCTTCTGGGCTGTGTTCTCATCTGGAGGCTTGACTGGAAATACCTGCTTCCAAGCTCACTCATGTTGGCAGAATTGATTTCATTGTGTTTCTAGGACTGAGGGCCCTGGCTTTGTGTTAACTGCCTTGGTAGAAGCCAGTTGCAGTTCCTTGTCTTGTGAGCTTTCCCAAAATGGTCGCTTACTTCATCAAGCGGGCAAGGAGAGTCTTTAGAGCAAGCAGGCTTTCAGTGGAGTCTTTGATGATGTGATGCTATCACAGGGGTGGCTGTTGGTTAGAAGCAAGTCATAGATCCCTGTGCACACTAAAGGGAGGGGATTATAAAAAGGTATGAACCCGCTTTAGGGTCTGTGCCAGTTATTGCCACATACGCCTCTAAGGGTTGTGGTGTTTTGCCTTCTTGCCAGTGATGTATGAAAGTGCCTGTTTACTCACAGCCTTGCCAAACATTGTTCTGCCAAGCTTTTGAACTTTTGCCAATCTAATGGGTGGAGAAGCATATCTTGGCCTACTTCTCGTTTGGATTTCTCTTGTTATGAATGAAATTGAGTATCTTCATATGTTTGAGGGCAATCTATACCTTGTTTTGAGAAATATATATTCATGCTTTTCCCCTCATTTAAAAAAGTTGAGGTGAGGACGCCTGGGTGGCTCAGTCGTTAAGCGTCTGCCTTCGGCTCAGGTCATGATCCAGGGTCCTGGGATCGAGCTCCGCATCAGGGAGCCTGCTGCTCCTCCTGCTTGTGCGTGCTCTCTCTCTCTCTCTGACAAATAAATAAAATCTTTAAAAAAATAAAAAATAATAAAGTTGAGGTGAAATGTGTAGAGCAAAAGTGATGTTTTTAAAGTAAACAGTTTGATGGTATTTAATAGATTCACAGTAGTGTGTATCCATCATCTCTACAGAGTTTGATAACATTTTCATGAACCCGGAATAAATCCCATACCCAGTAGGTGGTTACTCCCCATTCTCCTTACCGCCCCCCCGCCCCCCCCCCCCCCCAATCTCTGTTTGTCAGAAGTTTGACTATGAGGTGCCTAGGTGTGGTTTTCTTTGAATTTATCCTGCTCGGTGTTTGTTTTGCTTTGAAGGGTTTGGGTAGATATGTATCACCAAATCAAAGACTGCTCTTGTTTTTTTTTCCCTTCTGGGACTTGAGTTACTTGTATATGAAACAGCTTGACATTGTCTCTCAGGTGTCAGATGACTCTTTTCTCATGAACTCTTTATATTTTAGTTTGGATAATTTCTATTGACCTTACTTGAATTTTACTGATTGTCATGCCGGTGTGTTGATAAACTCATTGAAAGACTTAACTCTGATACCAAAATAAAAAAAA